CAAGGAGCAAGATCTTTTTTCTGTCAGCCTATTAGCAATGGCAATAAACAAATCCACATATTTTAAAAAAACAGCAGATGTTTGAAAACAAACTAATCTCATTACTATACATAAAAAGCCTAATGCAACCTGAAAGCAGTATTAGTGTGCTCAAGTAAATGTACAGAAGAAGTCTAGTGAAGATACTGAAGTGGATTTTTAACGATTCACAGAAACTGCCTAAATCAGCTACCTCAATTTTTCTTTATTATCAAAGTTTGTTATGAAATACATTAAAACAAACATTCTATTTAAGACTCTACATTACTGAACAGCAATAAATTAACCTTATGTTATAGAGAGATGGGTTGAATGGTTTGGACTACTTTATTTCACACTACATGGTTCTATTAAGTTCTGATAAGTCTCAATTTTAAGGAGAGAAGAGAAAAAAAGAAAACCCTAATTCCTATGTTAACCAGATTCCATAACTTAAGTAATGTGAAGGAAAAGTGTTCTGCTTCTAATGTACAGTATAGTTATTTTAACTAGTCTTTACAGAGAAAATAAATTTAGAAGAAGCAACCTAATTGACTAAAGAAATGTACCTACTCTGATGTATTCAGAAATATAAAAACGCATTTGTATTAATGGAAGATTACTTTTTTAATTTGTTACCTAAGTAACATATTCTATTCAGCGTTTATGCCAAATCAGGTCTAAAGCTCACAGAATAAGTTACAAGAAAAACAATGCTGCAAAGCAACAAACTGAGAATGCAGAAGTTTTAACTTAAATCTGAGACGAACACCTTATTTTCTACCCCAACTATTTAACCAAGTGTCTTAAATTACATATTTTACAAACATAGGAAGTCCCAAATAGCTCATGAGGATTACCTGCACGATACTGCAGCTGGACAGCTATACCTTCAAACCACATATTTGAGAGACTAGGATGACCAACACGGAGTTCAGTAAGAAACTTAGGAAATTGAAAATTATCTTGAACTACATCTAATTATATAGGCGATAATACAATGCAAAAACTACTTCGTATAATAAATCTAGTACCCGCACAGAACCACTGAGACAGCCACCCCTTCGCAAGTACTGCAGAAGAGAAAGAATACATGCAAGGATGAAAGCATAAACAAGCATTCTCGCTTAAAATGTTCATCCTCATACTCAAGTTCCTGTGGCCACTCTGCATCTTTGGGAAACTTTATTCTTCACTGCTATCATGCTTGATTAAAAAGAAAAAAAAAAACACCCACTACACAGGTTCAAATGCCACATAGGGAAAAATTTCTGAAGATATATTTACATTTCCAAGTCAAAACATGTTACAATCTAAGAAAATAGTTCACTTACTATTTCAACCTTTCCTTTATTTGCTTTGTATAGCTAGGGGAATGAAGTTCCAACTCCAATTAAAAAGACTTTGGCTATTGACTTTTCTTTCTCTGGTTCTGAAGTGAACATTCTGTTCTTTTAATTGCAGTTTGCTTGAAACTTGATACTAACTATAACACCTTTTGACAAAATTTACTTTCCACAAGAACTGACCAGGCATGAAAAGGGTTTACCCAAGCCAAAGGTTCCACCAGTCATTTACTGAAAACAGTTTTAGGACTATTACAGATAGACAACTAAGTATCTTAGATCAAAGCCAGAGCTAAGATGTATTCTTAGAAAATGAAGGGAAGTAAATAAAAGCTGTGAAATATTAACTCAGTTATTTGCCTAAGTAACTTTCTATCTTCATCATATTATCCAAGCGATACCCATTTTCCCTAAAATTTCAGACAAATACAAAAATTAAGTATTTTTAAAAAGGTAAATCCCTTAATACCATAAATGCATGAAATGCATCTGAAAGTTTACTGTCTCTCTTCAATTTTAGAACATTGAATCAAATTATAACATTTTCCTCCTACGAGAAAATGGTCAGCTAAAGTAAAGCAGATAAATGCTAAGCATAATAGAAGACCTTTTTTTTGACCAACAGCTAGTAGAGCAAATCATTTACTGCAAATCAAAATAATTTCTGAAGTTAAAAGAAGGCTAAAAAACATGAAAAGAGATGAGGATTTAATGTAGGCCTCAGTGAGAAGGGCAGAGTCAAAATAACTTTCCTTAAGGGCAGTGTAAACAACTGGTTCAGCAAAATGACTGAATGTATTATCTCTGCTATCACAAAATGTTCAGTAACTCTCATTGTGAAAGAGAACATAACTAATCTGAAAACGAAGAACATTACCCTGAAAAATAAAATCAGTTATGTTTAAAAACATACCATTCCTCAGCACTGATTTAAGAACTTAATTCAAATTCTGCGGTACATAAAATGGAATTTGTTTTTTAAAATATATGTTGATGTTAAATTAAAAAATTACACAGAAAATTCTACAACACTGGTGTTATTCAAATACAAATTCCCATTATCCTAGACTTTAAGAAACTTCTACCTAACCCATGTTTTCTTGTGAAATGCCTATCATAAAATAAACAGCTGGTAGGACCACAGAGAGTAGAAATAGTAAATCGAGACTGATGAAATCTGGAGAATCCTGTAACTTTCATAATAATACAAGAGACATCTTTTTACAGGAAGAACTCTAAAAAAAGGTACGCTCAGCAACTACTACCTTGTTCTAGACTGACTGTTCTTGCTTTACAGTCACTGTTTCAATTGCCTTCTTTTTGAACGGGTCCAGCTTTCCCCCAGTGGGATGGGGGAGAGAATGGGGGGGGGGGGAAGAGTAAAATTCATGGGTTGCGATAAAGACAGTTTAATAGGACAGAAAAGGAAGGGAAAATAATAATGATAAAAGAGTATACAAAACAAGTGATGCACAATGCAATTGCTCACCACCCGACGACCGATGCCCAGCCAGTCCCCGAGCAGCGGTCACTGCCCCCCGGCCAACTCCCCCAGTTTATGTACTGAGCATGACGTCACATGGTATGGACTATCCCTTTGGCCAGTTTGGGTCAGCTGTCCTGGCTGTGCCCCCTCCCAGCTTCTCGCTGGCAGGGCATGAGAAGCTGAAAGGTCCTTGACTAGTGTAAGCGCTACTTAGCAACAACTAAAACATCGCTGTGTTACCAACATTATTCTCATCCTAAATCCAAAACACAGCACTGTACCAGCTACTAGGAAGAAAATGAACTCTATCCCAGCCGAAACCAGGACACCCCCCCAGTTTCACCATTCACTTCTCTGTTGGCTAAGAAATGTCACCTGTTAAGTTGAAGGAATCAGCAATTTAAGACCTGTATTTTGTCTGACTGCAGGCAAGATTTCAGCTTTTCAAGAAACCCCTAACATTTGGTAGCCAATGCCTCTTCATGTGCCTGATGCAAACCAAAGCGATGCCTCAGAAGAGTCACCTAATGAGTCAAGAGAAAAGATGACTCAAATGTCCCACACAGAACAAAACAGCCTTCCCATTGTAGCTTTTGCTTAAGTTTTTTGTAAGTTTAGCCAGGAAAAAAGTTAACTTTGTTAATAAATGGCACTATGAATCTTCTATAACCATCATATTGTAAGATCACAAGTATTGTTTGGCTTCTGCTAATGGGTACTTCATGGTATACTTACAAAACAGCCTTTCAAAAGACAACTTTTTCCTACACATACACTCTAAGGTCAGTCCCTCAGAAGGACAGGCTACTTCCTAAACCTTTTTTCTTCCTCACACTAGGGGGATGTTCTGTCTCTTAAAGGAGTTAGCAGAAAGTCTTTTAAGTAAACTATTGTGCCAGTTAAGGACTACATTGTAGCAATACTGATGTACAGTCTGCATAATCTGCTTTAATGGAATTTAAGGCCAATTAAACATACATCACTTGGGATTGGTCTTGGTATCTTCCATTCTGCTTCAGAACAAGGAATCAAAGCAGCTTTCCTTTTCTTGAGAATATGGAAAGGAGAGAACCACTTCTCTGTCCTAGTACTTCACATACTCGTATTTAAAGTAACAAATTTTCTAAGACCTGACTTCTGCTTACTTACTTAAACTGTGACTTTGCCAAATCCTTCATTTTGTATCAACCAGTATTGTATTTTATGCGGTTATTCTACATTCAACTTTTAAAATATGTACAGATTACACTCTAACCTCACATTCAGACTCTCACAGGACATAATCCACTTCCTACCGAAGTCCACAACATCAGCCTACTGATTTTGAAAGCGCACCCAGAGCTATCCCAAGTCATAATTTCTCCTAGAAACTTATCACTGGAAATAATTATTTCTAATCTCCAGTGAACCGTATGTAATTTTCAGAAGAAAGCTCATAAAGCAAAGCAATTCATTCTTCTACACTGACAAAGGCTAAAGCTGTAAAAACAGATGCCCTAGCCATAAAAACGATAAAGATTACTCGAATCTGTCATAGGCTATTATCCCCTTCCCATCAATAAAAATACTGAAAAGAGCAAAACACAAATCTTTTCTTCCACAAGAGGCTGGAGAACCAAGGGAAAAAATGGTCTGTGCTAGGCTCATTAAACAGCACTTACATATTTCACAGTTAGTTTTAAATGGCAGACTAGGTTATAATCCAACTTTCTGTTCCTACATACAGTCCCTGAACAAGAGAGTGATTTCCAATGGATATGCAGCATTAACAACATGTGATACTAATGAGGCACTGAGTAGGTCCATATCTGTTACAAAACAATAGAACTTACATTATCAACCAACATTAGGTAAAGCACATCTATATACAGCATGCTTTACCACTATAACTGATTCTCTTCCCTAAAAGGTCATTTTTTATGACAAGTACTAACACATGTTCTTACCTTTTTGTATCCTCTAGTAATAAACTGAGAGTTCAGTATTTTTATTCCGATTGAGCTACAAACACAGATAGTGTTAAAAACAAAATACAAATACAAAACACCCCAACGTCATTACTCAAAAATAAGAGTGGCAGAACCAGATCTAAAAGAAAATTGCATCAGTACTGTCATGTCTTCAATAAATAAATAAGGTGGTATACATACTTTTCTGCTTGGAGTTTGGTGGTTTTTACTATCAAGTCCTGGGTTTGTTCCTTTGCTGCCTAAAATACAATTAGAATCGTTAAGTATGTGAAACAAACACAAACATATCAAATGCATTACACAACCTTTAAAATGTATAATACTTTTGAAGCTTTCTGACTATAAGCAGTTTAAAGAGTGTATTCTTCAAGACAAAGGGCCTTCCTGAAGTAAGTATTTGTTAACTCTCCCTATTTTCAGCCATGAAAAAATAAATCAATATCCTTATCCATATATATTTTCATCTTTATGTACATTTATATTCACACGTTTATTTTTTAATTTATATTTAATACAAAAACATTAATATAAATATCAGGAATGGTTCTGATTATTTTGTTTGTCCATCAACTGTAAATTGTTTGCTGTTACAAAATGAAAAATGAAACAAGTTCCTCTGGATGCTGACCCGCCCAGCACCAGTGTCAATCCAGCCATTTTAGACAACACGAATACAGCTGTCTGTGCTGGTCTAGGCAAGTTTAGCTCTACAGTCAAAGCAGGGCTGTAAGGACCAAGTGCAATGCACTTAAGAAGTCCATCACAGCCATAACTGTTCAGTGATGACAATGCAAGGGAATCCATGCAGAAACAATTCTGCTACAGACAACAGCTGCATGACTAAAGGGATTGCTGCAACTGAAGTTAAAGAGTTCAGAAAGTATCGCTCAGCAAGAGGATAACAGACATCCGGAATTACTGGTTTCCCACTAGACACCACCAGTGATCTTTTAGGCAGAAAAATAAGAAGATTTAACAAAAAAAAAAAAAAAAATCCTGAAATCAAAATGCATTCAGTATGGAATAACATCGCAAGTGAAGAAGGGGAAAGAGCTATAAAGATATTCGCATGAATGATTTTAAGACTGTAATACATCTAAATTACAGTGTTTGCCAAAATGAAGACGCCAGTCTTGAAACCTGTGAGAGGTCTAATGCAAGTATATACGCACACTGATTCATTTCAGCCTTTCTACCTGCCACACTACATCAGTTACAATGAAAAAGCAGCCGAGGTACAGGAACACTTTGAAAGGTGAAAGGACTGCAACCACGCAAGTACAACTTCAGGCATCAGAGAGAGCCTGAGCTGTCCCGTGAATATAGACAGCAGGCACCGCTGAGGTGCCAGTTGATGAATTTTCTGAAGGAAACTATTATGGACTAGCTTGCAAATTTAATAAACACTCAACAGAATTTACTGAACATTTAGTAGTTCCAAAATAATTTAAGATACCTTTAAGCTTTTTATATCTTATATAAATAATAATATTTAGATTTTTTAATGTATTTGTATTTTAAACTTTTTTTTAATAATACTGATTTTCAATGCTTCAGCCTAGCAAAACATGACTATTACAACAAAAGACTGGACCTGAACTATTCAGTATGGAAATCCACTAATTCCAGACTTTTTTTTTTCTCCCCCTTCCTTCAGAGTTGCAGATTTTAACAAACCAAAAAGACAGAAGAAGAAGTTTGCTTCCTTTCCAGTACTTTCTGGACAGAGGTACTAATTGCCAAGAAGAATGCTAACAGTAGGACAGCAGAAAGGAAGGAAAAGCAGTTTTTCTGGATCTAGCTAGATACATCAGGAAGCCAGGTTTTATTTACATGCATCCAAATACATGCCAGATACTGTTATTATTGCAGGTATATAATGTAAGAGCTTACATCTAAGCAAAACAAGGTAATTGGCAGAAAAGAGTCAGACATGCCAGAAAAATCAGAAACTTGATATTTGATGTTTCTTGCAGATCCAAAATAGAAATATTTTTCTCTTCCTCCCCACCTCAGTATACTAATTAAAACTTTAATTATCCTTCAACCTCACTTTATTCCATTCCAGCACTTGCCTCCTTCTCTCCCTTCCAGCCATTGCATTTATCAAGTCACTGTCCTGAAATGAGATCTGACAGTATCCGGTTATTTGGATTGGATGGTATTATAAACTTACAAAATAAAAAAGGTAAAAAGCTTTTTGACTTATCAATATATAGTCCCTTTCATATCTTGTATCTGCTCTGCTCTCTTAATACACTGCTCTCTTAGCACACTTTTCTGCCTTTTATGCTATAGATCCTCATCTTTGTATCTTCCATTTGCTCTGCTTAGTTCATTTTTGTCTTCTTATTCAGCTTGAGTACATGCTTGCAAGTCTTCATGTCCTATTACAGATAAAATACCAGAGTATTTGACAACTGAGTGCTAGTTCATGGGCTTATTAACTTGATTTACATTCATACAAAGAAAACAGGGGTTGAATTGAGATAAGTTATGAGTTCTACAGGGCTCTAGAGGAAACCTCCTGTGGGGCACAGAACAAAACTACCTACTGACTTTAACAGAAAAAGAAATCACTGCAGGGTGGCTCTACTCTGGGAAAAAGAAAAAAAAGAAGTCACAGATCATAGTTACACTTCATGATCTAAAGACAGAAAAGAGCAAAAATCTGCATGGACACTCGACTCATTTCCACATCTAGGAGTTTAATCAAACAGTTCCTGAACTGCACTAGGGAATACATCCACGTTAACAGTGTTCAAAGAGATCTGAGACCTCCGAGGTGCATTACCCATTGCCTTCCAAAATTGAAAAGTAAGTACGGCAGTGGGCAACACTGTACTCACACTTTCTGGAACAAGTTCATCAAACTACAAGCATTCTTATGGGAATGACATACGTGACTATGAACCCTATTAATCTATGTAGGGGGACATCTAATGTCCCCACACACACACATTAGGAGGGGAAAAAGCAACTGTTTTCACAGTGAAGGATTCTCATTCACAGACTATAACTTTTGTGCTATACTCAGAACAGATTTGGTTTCGCAAAACTTCTACACTTCAGCATCCATAAACCTTTTAAACTCATAACTGTATTCTTGTACACTAAAACCAAGCCAGATTTAGTAATGCATTATAAAACACAACTTTTGTTTTTCCCCTAGAATATTATGGATTCAGGATTAATATGAAACAGAACTGGTTTTGTTGCATACCAGCATTCTGAGACAATATTATGAAACAAAACCAGCAGAATGAAGACGGCACACTAGACTTGGCTCCCTCTTTGGATTACAAGATACTTTCTTATGAATATACTTGACGTATTTATATGAATACATAAGTCAACAGATGTAGTCAATGCAGAAGGCATACAGATTTTAAACGGAAATACACAAATGTCATTAACCCTTAAATCTCACACACATCAAATCTAATAAAATATTTTCTCTCCACTCACATACAAACGGATATCACATTGCTATTCTCAAAATAAGTATGTTGCTGCATTCTGAATTGCAATTTGGAAGAAATTAAAATTACTTCCTCAATACATTTTCTAAACAAGGAAAAAGAAATGTATTAATATCCTAAAGTAACGTAATATGCATACTATGCAAACATCTTGGTGTCGCTGTTAATCCTCCAAAATAATTATTTATCCTTTTAAATGGATAATAATATCCTTTAAAAGGATAATAATAATAATCCCCACCTCAAAAGGAAAAATATACAAAGCACACCTATTTATATATTACCTTCAAACGACTGGACATATCTTCACAGCAGCTGCTCATCGCTTGCACATCTTCGTTTATACTCTCAAGCTCCTAAATAAGTTCAAACAACAGAAACTGTGTTTTAAATCAGAAATGCATGCCTAGGCCCAGTTTCATCCCACCAAAATGAGATGCCTAAGTTACAAGGAACATAGTTGCTCCAGGCTCCTTGTTAACCAATGGAGAGAATGCACCTCTAAAGATCAACATTCACTTGGGATTTTTATCTGCTTGAAGCATCACCTCTCTCTGCGCAGGATTTTCATCAAATGAAACAAGCGATGAAACAATTTTACTGTAAAAGTATATTTGTCCTGGAAGTCAAAATCTCTCTTAATCCTTTTTTCTTTTTTTAAACTTTAAATTACATAGCAGTACTCTTGCAAGATAGCTAGTAACACTGTAAAAATGCTACCTCTTTAACTTGCTTGAATATGTGGACAAATTCTTCATTTATGGCTAAGCTTCGCCGTTCAATGTCTCCACGCAAGTTTCTTCGGGTGCGCAAACTGTTTTCAACAAAAAAGGTCGAGAGAGCCTTGAGTGCTTCCAGCATTTCCTAGAAAATAAAAAAGACACTAACTTTCCACACAGTTACAAAGAAGCAGGTTACACAGCCTGTAACCATCCCAAGTTCGTGGTCTTACTGGAAAAAAAAAAAACAAAACCCAACCTACTACATGGTTTTAGAGAAAAAACTACCTCAACACACTCCGGATGAGTTGGTAAATAACTACAATAATTGCTGAGTCTTTTTTCTTCGCATATGTTATAGTACACAACTTTGTCTACTATTTTAGAATAGCTTTAATCAGCAAGATTACATTCCGTTAAAGCATGACCTATCCATAGCTAGAAAACATTTAAATCAGAAAAAGCTTGAGAAGTGCCCTCCGAGCTAAGCAATACAAACCTCCCCACGATTTGGAGGGACCAAACAGGTGCGTGGCATGTCACTGGAGAAGCAAAAATGAATTTTATTTTCAATTAGCGCTGCAGACGTCAGCTTGCGATTCCGCAGCGGAACTGAGGCTGTGACAGGGCTCGCTTCCCACTGTCGGAGCCTATCGGGGCTCGC